TGTGAAGTCGATACATGTATATCTATGGATCGACCTCATCAAAGGGCTATATTTATATAATATGCTTATATCTTTTGATTACTATTTATCTGACAAAGTTATGCTATTAAATTGTTTATGATATGCTTGAAGATTCTATTGTCAATTAATATACTAAAATATATTATTTTCAGTTGGATGACTTTTATCCAACGTTACAAGTTGTGGTTTTTTAATCCCCGAGTCTTGGCTCCAACTACAAATCATGGGAGATTCTTTTTATCCCGTGTTTAAAACTTAACAATCAATGTTTTAAAAGGTTTTTGTATACATGCATATAGGATTCCACTTTTTTTTTACTTTATTACGCTAAGGCAAAACACAATGTGACGTCACAACTTTGGGATACAAAAACGATATCACTAGAGCTATATCAAAGGGATAAAGGGGTAATCATGGGATAAAGGAGTGTATAACATCTGCTGTCAGTGCATGTAGGCCGCTATTGTATGACATCATCAGATAGTTCGCTTTGGCCAATATTTAATAATTGTCGGTATTACTGTCCTGTTGTACTTTGAACTTCTGCTGTTTCACTTTGATCATGACTTGTAGAATAAACTATATAATTTTGCCATCCAATGCTCCTGCAATATACATGTAAGCTAGGACATTCTTAGTTAAGTATGTCCAACTGAAATCTGCTCACTGCTGAATTTACAAGTAATAGGATTGTTTCCAATTCCAACATTGCGATCTACTTCATCATATTGGCAGAATTCGTTTTGTGAGAACCTTTGTTAGATTAATTTTGGAAATCTATACATGGATTACACCAAAGATGTCGAATTGTTCTAGAATATAAATATGAAAGTTTTTATTAAATAAACATACATTTAGATATTTGTATATTGTCGATTGGTTTTCTTTCAATGCTACAGTATTCAAAACAGACTTATTTACTTATTTATTTTAAATGTCACAAACTGACCAAATTTTTCCATTGATGTAAAATGACTCTAAGTTTTAACTTGTTCGTGTTCTTAATTTGGCGTATTCAAATTTTAACGTAATCACTGGATATGGAGTTGTTGGCGTTATCATGAATTACGCTGAGCAAGTTGGTATATGTTAATGTGCCATGCACCAAATGCAAACAAGAAGACAAAAAAAAAAAACATTGATAACAAACAAACGTACATACAAAACAAACGGCAAACAAAAAAGCGAAAACTGTTTGGGGGGTCCAAATAATTCTTTAACCTATTCCATTAGCCTGTCATTGATCAATAAACCATCCTTTACAATTTACGTGTTTCTTAACACATTTTGGTTCCCATACCTTTTCTAGGCGTGTTTTCTTATTTCTTATGATTGTCCAAAAAAGGAATTTGGACTAGTTTCCTTCAAAGTCAGAAAAGGGCGGCTACAATTCCAATATTTCTGCCCGTCGTCAAGTGCATGACATAGCCTTAACGTAAATCTAAATAATGACTGCGATTAAACTGTCATATGATAACTTTTATATATAAGAAATCCGTCCGCTTTACACTCAATATGTATAGATGATTAAATTACTTGTACTTAATAATTATATAATAAAACTTAGTAAAATGTTTTCCATACTAAAAAAGTTTGTATCATCATATACTAAATAAAATACAATTCTGTAAACTGGGCAGGGCATTTTGTACCCCCAGAAATTCCCCAATAAGGTTCAGGTGCCTACAAAGAGTTAGCTTCCCCTAGTAAGCGGTCTCAGTGCACTAAGACGTACAGTGAATGTTTTATTCAAGTAGAAGAAACATTCCGTAGTCGACTTCAATAATAATCATAAAAAGAAACTTAAGACTGCATGGTTTAAGAAATAAAGTCCGCGTTTTCATGAATGTTGCAGGATAATCTCTGATGAGGTCGAGAAATGTTGTTTGAAAGATAAAAGCCGAGGCGTTAGCCGAGGCTTTTATATTTCAAAGAACATTTCGAGACCGAAAAGGTTATCCTGCATCATTCACGACAACAAGGACTTTATTTCTATTCTACTAAAATCGGTTAAATATGGCTGATCGTTTCCTCTATAGAGAAATGAATTAGGTCACCATGTCTAGATTACACTGTTCCATTTAACAGCAGAGGGGAAAATTGTTTGCTTACCTTTGTATGGAATGCAGACGATTTGAGCTTCCGTTGCATTAAAGATAGCTTTTTTAAATTACAAATTTGTTCGCAATATGTGTTGATTAGCTTTTATTAGGGATGTCAAAATATTTATTTTCCTTGTCTCCAAACACGACATTATATAAATGGTGCCTGCTTTGGAGGATAACATTTGAAATTGACACCCCAAGGAAAACCATTGTCAACCGACGCGTCAGCGGAGGTTGACAATGGTTTCCGAGGGGTGTCAATTTCAAATGTTACCCTCCAAAACAGTCACCATTTATTTTATTATACTGAATGTCTTATTGATTTAGGACGTCAGCAAAAAAAAAAAACGTCGATCGTCTTTACGTTCATATATAGAAAGCTTTCACATTCACCGGTTCACTAATCTCCATATTGTTTGTTTGATACTCGAATTAGAGTCATTTATCATGTAAAGTTTCGTTATTTCTGGCTCGCAAGCATGTTTCCTACACTCGCAGGCATGTATCGTCTGTCGTTTGTTGTTTTCAAGTAAGCTATATCGAACGCAAGCTTTTATTGACGTCAAGTTAATTCCGGTTCTTTCAAACGCGCAACTGACGTTTTGAGAATTCTACGATGAACCGTACGCGCATAATTTCCACGCATGTGGCATTACCGTTGTGTTACCCGTTGCCACGTGTATGCTAAGGCTCAGGGTAATCGAACGGATTGTGAACTGCGTCTAAACCCTTGTCAATCAGAAACCCAAGCATCTTTTTTATATCAACTTCAGAGTAGTAACTTGTGTGTACAATCAGAATGTTTTCTCAACATAATTTCGCAAATGACCAATGATTGACAAGGTTAGTAAATCCACGAGTTCCATTTTTATTGAAAAGGCAAATTTCAATAATACCAAAAAGCCTCCGAGTCGACTTTAATTTATCGTGGGGAACGGTTGTGTGTTAAGTTTAAAAGTTGTCTACTAAGTGTTTAGCTGTTGCTTTTGGTGAAATATTGTGATTTTAAATTGTCCAAACGTTCCTTAGAATTTTTAAGTATTCACATCTGATTAACACCACATCTTGAATATATTGTTGCACAGTACTCTGACTTGAAGTTTCTCCTTCACTACTGGTAATATCTTAGTGAGGAGTAAAGAAAAAAAGGCTTGTTGAACATTTACTGGAACCCATTATGTATCTTGTTTTGTAAGGATTCTTATGAAGTATCGGAATCCAAAATGTAAGACCGCGGAACATTAACTGGCAAAATTGGAAATATACGGCTTACGTCATTTCTATCTGTTACAATCAAAACATTCAGTGATAGACAATGAAATGGACGGGTACAATTTGACGCGGACGTTTGGAAAACATCGGATTGAAATTGCAGATCGAAATTCATTTTCAATATACCTCAGCTACGCTAGAAGGCACACTATTACTGATTGACCCAGAAGACAAAAAATTTCAATTTTGGTACAGTTTGAATTTTAGTATCCAGTGTTTTAAATGAATAAATATTGAAGGGACAAATATTTCATTTCTGTTTGGTAAATATATGTATATCTTTGTGTTGGTGGTGGTGGTGGTGGTAGGGGGGGGGGGGGTTGAACGATTTTTAAATAAAGTTGTCCAACAGTTTTCAGTGACAATAAGTATAAAACTCATGCACTCTTATAATCCTAGAAATAAAATATATTGTCATGTTAAGCCATGACCTGACTCGACAATATTTTACCTCCCCCTCCTAGAATCAAATATCTCCTGAAAGATAACCTTTGTCTTGTATGATATTTCGCGTTCTTAAAATTATAAGGTAAAACTCATATTAATGTAACTTCAAACAATATGAATTTGGGAGTTGAAATATAACTATATTGATTTTTGGATCATACATTCACTCTATGCTTTGAAAACAGCTCAGGTGGATTGAAAATGAATTTCGATCTGCAATTTCAATCCGATGTTTTACACACATATGGTTGTTCAAATTAATTTGAGTTCTTTTGGGATATTAAAAATATTCAAAATTGAAATATGATTTTGATGATTTTTGGAACAACGAGTGTAGGCTGGACTACAACTTGAAGAATTAAATCCAAGATCTTCTAAAATACAATTTATATAAATATGATGATTATGAGCCTTACAAACAAAGACAATGTAATTGTTACCTAGTTTGTCATCAGGGATCAGTACGTACTGAACTTGTACTCTATCCAATTCTTTTTCCCTCCTGGGTTATTGAAACATTTTGATAAACTTTTATTGTTTTGAACATACATGTATTTTAATGTATAAACAACAAAATGATTGGAAACAAGTTCTTTCAACTTACGAGTTCCTCTCCTTAAATATAACTAAATGTCATGCAATCAAAATACATGTAGTACATTGAGATATAAATACAAAAGAGATACAAGTGAGATATTTGTTCAGAAATATAACAATTTAAAATTTACAAGATTCGTCAATAAATTTATGTACAGCAGCAAAAATATATGTGTTTGTTTCTACAGGCAAATTTACATCACCATATAATAACAAATTTGTGTCAATGTTGACCAATTCGTCAAGTAAAAATAGGCGATTAAAAAGATTATTCCTAGCGTTTGGATAATTTCTGCAGGCAAAAAAGAAATGATAAACATCTTCATACTTTCCACATGAACATAAAGGGTTATTAATAATATTTCTTTTGTGTAAATCATAATTAAGTATACAGTTGTGTCTAAGTTTAGTATGGATTATATTTGTATAACGTTTGCCAAATGAAAAATAGATTGGGGGATTTTTTACTTCTGCAGTTAAGTTTTTTCGAAACGCATTGAGTGAGATAGCTTCCCTTGTTTCTGTCTTTAATAAACTTTTATTGATTTAATGGCTTTTATTGTTTTGTTGCACACAAATTGCATGTAGCTCAGGCATCAGAGACTTTAAAGCCACTGATGTGTGTATTGTTTAGGTGTATGTACGGAGTATGGCCGCTGGTACTAGCTGTCCAAAACTTGTTTCCCTTCTTCAATGGAACCACCAGATGCGCCGTTGAGGATTGATATTCTGCTGATTGACCATGGATGGCCGAATAAACTAAAAGTTTGCCATCTACTATTCCGCTTATATAAGCAATAGCCCCATTCTTCGTCATGTCCAACTGAAAGAATATATATGTTTCAATGGGTGCTGTAAATATACCAGTACTAGGGCTGTATCCGTTTCCAACATTAGCAATCACATCGTCGTACTTGATAATTTCGTTTCCTCGGATCCTGTTGATTGCTTTTGTAAGTTTGGCATGGAAAGCTACGGGAATGCCTACAAAAATTATATCAAAGTTGTCAAATTGAACAAGAATATAAGATTAGTATGAAATTGTTCCTTTATTATATTAAACAGATTTTTGTATAGCGTGGATCGTTTTCCTTCAATGTTTTAGTATTAAAAGCAAAAGCTTACTAATATTTTAATTTTATTTTCTTTTTTGTATGTATAAGCTTCTTAGTTCAAGTAAAAAAAAAATGATTTCCTATAATAAATGTCCTTGCCACAGATTTTGGATTTCAGACTATGATCCATCCCATTTTATTTGGACAAATACGGGATAGCATCAGGACAATTAAGAGCTATTTCAAGGCTAAAATTATAAAACTTATAGAACTAGATTAGGGCAGTTAAATACATTTAAATGGACTTTCCAAAGCAAATTTTACAGAAAAAAAAAACTTGAAGTGCTACCTATATGATGACGTATTAACATGACTAAATGTCTTTTACTGCTTATTCTGTATATGAGAACTGCGAAAAACATTTAGATCAATGAAAAGGTTGATCACTGATCAATTAAAACAACACAGATCTGCAAAGAAGACGTATGACACGCGGAAACTCGATCCAAATTGGGATCAGGTGCCAGGAAGGAGCAAGCACTCTCTGTCAACCAGCCATATCTGCGCGTAAGCTAAATGCACCGACTATCAAGAACTACGTAATCAATTCCATTGTTTAAAAAAAAGCCTTTAAATTCAAAGATCTTGCGGAATCTTAGCAAAGCTAAAAAGTGAATTTAGGGGCGGCTGAGCATATTGCAAAATCAAATGAACTGTAAATCCTAACCTTACATGTGGTACATGATAGTTGTATAGTTTTGAAATGACCCATGCTTGTGCTGAATTTTGAGTGAGCGGCAATAAAATAATCGCATACGTGTATGCAGTATATAAATACAGTAATAAAGAAATTTATTACATAAAATAATGATTTTTTTTTTACTAAAAACAAAACAAAAAAATCCAAACACAGATAACTTGGGCAACAAACAAACGTCAAACAGACAAGCAAAAACTTTAAGGGGGGGGTGTCAAATAAATTTTAGAACATTTCAATCCTTTAGTCTATATATCATTGAAAAATATACATGTACCAAGACATGTACCTACCTTTGCCAGGTACGTATTTCTTTTCACATTTTGGTTCCCATCCCATTTCACGACATGCATTTTTATAAATCTTGAGATTGTTCACAAAGGAATTTGGACTACTTTTCTCAGCTGCAACCAAATTCAAAGAGTACAAGACAAATATTCCAATAATACAGCGCATCTTCAAATTCTTGATCTAACCTTCAAGCAAATCTTAGTAATGAACAAACGGGGATAACTGAATTTATGCATTGTTTTGTTATATACTCAGTTGCGTATACTGTCATTAAACTGTTGTATGATAGCTTTTAACAAAGCACTTTTACACGCTATATGTATACATTCATATAAATTACTGACTAAATATACATGTAGCTATAAAATTCAGTTAAATGTTTTTCAAAACTAAAAAGCTTGTATAATAATACATGTATATGTTATATACATGTACATATGTTAACTTAAAGTAGCTGAAGAATTATCAATTATATAATGCCATTTACAATAAAATACTTTTGATTTCAATGAGTAGGAAAGCCACAACCCAAATGACAAATAAAAATGGATTTTAAAAAAACAAAAGGAAAACCATATTATTCAGCACAGTGAATAAAAAAAGAGAGCTGAAAAAAATTGAACCACAACGACTCTAAAAATTCTTCTGCTGAGAACCGGGCATAAATCATAAATTACGATTTTTTTCCCAAGGCATTGGCGTCGGAAGCAAGTTGAAAGTGGGGGGGGGGGCTAGGTTTAACCAATTTTTTTTCCAAACACCACCACTTTCCCCATTTTAAGCCTACACTTCAACATGTCTGTGGAAAGTGGGGGGGGGGGGGAGCTAAACCTACGCAGCAATGTCCAATGTCTATACTAAGTCTATCTTTGGAAATAAATGTTGGAAGCTTTTGTTGAGGATCAGACCAGCGTTGCAAGGTCATAATTGTTGAAATCCAAAGGAAGGTCAAACTCCACGGTCAAAATCAAGAGGTCAAAGATGGTACCGAAAGAAAGGTCTTGTCACAAGGAATACACCTGTGAAATATTAAAGCCATAGCCCAACCTATCCACTGGCAAATTTAAGGGGGAGTGGTGGCACGCCCCCCCCCCCTTAACATTTTCAAAGTATGCTATGATTAATGATAATAATGCCATATTTTGGTACATAACTAACCAATACCAGTATTTTTGTGTCTGGTTTGCTCTAAAATGTCTGAAAACAAAATGATTTATACTTTTTTCCCCCCCCCCTTTAATTCAAAGTATGATATGACTATAATATCAAAAAACTTTGGTACATAATTAAAAAAACTTTTGTTCCTGGTTTCACTCTTAAAATAAAATGTTTAGTACATCTGGACCACCAGGGCTTAATTGGCCCCCAGCCTGAAAGAAATTTTTAACACGCCCACCCCCCCCCCCCCCTTCCATTCAAACTGTGTGTCCGGCCGTTTAACAAAAGTTACCTGTATGGGCAATTTAAGGTTAAAGTTTTTGTAGACATTGCAAAAAAGCAAATAGGCAAAAACTAAATACAAAAATGCTAAATCCCCCCCCCCATCTTAGATTACGGGGGCATAAAAATTATGAACAAAAATTTATTCATTTATTTTTGTAGGTATTTTTCCCTCTTTTCGAGAAAAAATCTTGGATTTGAACTGAAGTTGGGAGTTTCAACGGGCCTAATTCTGTCACAAAAAAGCAGGTTCAAGATTAGCTGCAGTTCTCAGTGTAGCTCGCTGGTGTAAAAATTGGGATGGTTTGTAAATATCATTTTTTCTTCGAGAGCAAAATTTCTGTAGTAAGTTCAAGATTAAATTTCAATACCTGCATACTCTGATGCCAGCTGTGTACTAAAAAGAAATCTTGATCCGCTAGTAATCCGGAATTTTGTTACGATATACTCTGGTTTTTACATTTTAATTTAGAATCAAAGTCATGGAAAAGCTTTTACCTTGATGTTGAAGTTCCGGAAGCTCTAGGGCATTGGCATATTTTTGAAAAGTTTTTGCAAGAACAATACTGATTCTGCAAGCTTAAATCAGTGCATTTAATTAGTAGGACATCCAGCTACTTGTTTTAAAAATATTGAAGTCATCAAAACGTTCAATGCCCTAAATGTCGTCCGCGCAGATTAAACCTGATTTCTACCGTGTTGAACTAAATAAGACAATTTGGGAAGTCCCCCAGCGATACCAAAATTTGATTCCCGTGGGGGCGGGTGCCTACGGCCAAGTATGGTAAGTGAAAAGTAAAAAAATCAATTAGACTTTTTCAAATTTTTCATATTGTGTGCAGCCTCTATCTTCTTTTTGCCACAAAACATTTTCCTCGTATGATCTTTGAACTTGCATCTTCATTAATGTTTAAAGCTCTGTTGGTTATGTGTTTACCGTGTTATATTCTATTTGATGTAGATCGGAATTCCGTTGGAATTTCAGAAATCTCGAGGATACTGTTGACTCAGTGATTTTTCATTTGTTTTTCACTCTGATGTTAGTCAGAATTGTTCTATATTTAGCCCGAGTTTGTGTTGCTATTTTTGTCAACAACTGGTAGGCATAGGGGGTTCCAGCCTGGCAAATGCACTATGTACTCTTCATAGCTAAGAAGGAAAATCCATTTAGTTTCTTATGACTGGATTTCTCCATTTAGACACTTTCAGTGATTAAACATTTTGTGATGGAGGTGTTATACAAAAGACAAGGTGAAATGAGAAGTGACTGTATGCATTGTCCACCTGCACCATTTGTGCATCAAGTGAGATTGAACAATGTTACCTGGGAAGTACCTGAAAAATACAAGCCCCTGAAGCTAGTGGGCTCAGGGGCCTATGGACAGGTCTGGTATGTGTATTGTTTTGTTCATTGGTATTAAGTACCATTTTTATTGTATTGTGTGAGCTTAGAGGTATTCCATTGGTTCGGGGGATCCTTGATATAGTCAAGAGATTGTAGTTGAGTACCAGGTAAGACTCATAATGTGGTACTGTAACATTTTCGGATGTAAAGTCTGTGTATGGATATGTATGATATTTTTGTACATATTTTAGCTTCTGAAACTACGATGATTAACCATCTGGGTCCACCTGAGTACCTGTAAATTGACACACCCTGATTAACCAAAAGCCTGTTTACATGTACTTATAATTTTATGCACATGGTCATCATGTAGCAAGAATTTCAGATTTAAGTTACTTGATCATCATATAGCAAGAATTTAAGATTTAAGTTACTTGATCATCATGTAGCAAGAATTTTAAGTTTTAAGTTACTTTGAATATACTTATGCACATGACATTAAGACAAGTTTGATCACTGGTGGCCGTGCATAGCTCAACTGTGGATCATCTGGCTGTTAATTCAGGGTATACACATGCACATCCAAATTCTGGTATGGTCTGTCACATTTTTCTTCTCACTCACTACACACATATTGCAATATGCTCTAGCTGTATCATATACCCCTATCTTACTACTCAAGCTTTACTTACATTCATAAACTACAGGTTTATGTGCTTTCAGTCCAAGTTTCAAAAAGAGGACTTGAATTCATAAAGTCTGTGTGAAATGTGAATGTGTAAATCTTTTGTATGTTTTAATAACCTGGTGTAAAAAAAAAACATCTAACATTTAAAACTCATTACATGTATAATAAAATTAAGCAATTGATAAGAGATATCTCAGGAATTTCCTTGTTTGATCCATAACTGCACAATTAGTGTCGGATAAAATCCTTAAACTTCCTTTTATAATAATGAATTTGGTGGAAGAAGAAGTCAAAGAATTGTCAGGTACTTGCTCTTTAATTGTGTTAAAGAGAGGTCCGTTATGATTTGTGTTTTTAGAGTCTGACACTGTCACAATTCTATGCACACTTAATTGATAATGTACATACATCTGTATGTGACAATGTAGGGTATATATTTACTTGAAATGTTTGGAACTTAATGATGCAGTTTTGACATGTTTGAAGGTTATTCCTCTCAATATATGTTCAATTGTTCATCAAGTGTTGCATGGAAAAAAAAAATCAGAACATTACTGTACATAGATCTATATGATTAGTGATTGAGATCTGAGAGTTAAACACTTATAGGTACTTTTGATTTATTTAGCTGTGATATAGATATATTTAAAAGTACTTAACTAAATAATATTCAAGTACATTGTCATTCTGTAAATTCATCTATAATTTAATTAACTTTGTATGTATTGACATTTTTTAGCAAGTTACTTTTTACTAGACCTATATAAGACTTCAGTTTAACATAGATATATTTCTTTGTGAGGTTAATATCCTTAAAACAGAATAAAATTATATGGTTCTTGAACCTAATGCTTGCATATTGGACTTAACTGTTTTAGTAAAAGTGAAGGTAACCCCTGCGAGACTATCATGAATAATTCATGAATTTCCTTGAATTTTATTCATGAAATGTTCATGAAATGTTCATGAAGATCCTATGAACTTATTATTGGACATTTTCAAATCATGAATTTTTATTCATGAAAGAAAATTGATGAATATTCATGAATATTTTTTTTCATGAATAATTCATGAAGAGTTATTCATGAAGATTCATCATTTCAAGAATGTCCAATAATAAGTTCATTGCATCTTCATGAACTATTCATGAATAATTTGATGAATTTTTTCTGGAATGTTCATGAATGAATAAAATTCATGAACCATTAGCATTCATGAATATTCTTGCTTATTTGTAAACAAAAAATGCAATATTATTATTCATGTTTATTCATGAAAATGCATGAAGTCATGCTAAAAAAAGTAACAGTAGATGATTTATAATACAGCATCTTGAAAGATTTCACAGAAATGTTGTTTGTTTTCCAACCATGGCAACAAAATCTTTGTTAAAAAACTTAAAATAGACAATTCTGACACATTAAACCATAGTAAATGAGTAATGTAGTTCATTCCTGGTAAAAGTATAAAAAAATTTCAATTCAAATGCAACTCTTTGCAGAATGTTTAACCTTACTTGGTCAAAAGGAGAGTGGGATTCTTCCTCAGCATGTTTCAAATTGTGTTTTAATGCCAGAAATTGAACAGTTTTTAATTCCAGTCTAGGAGAAAAGTTTGTTCAGCACCAGGGTAACAGTTTTCAGTGCTTTCAAGCAGTTTGAGCAGAGATGGTCAAATCAAAAATCCTTATTGTCTCTCCATGTGGAATTTCCAGAATTTCATCATTTGGATCCTTTGATTGAATATCATTCATATTTTCATTTCTTTTTTTTTTTCTTTCTTTTTTAAGAGCTCAGATTTTTGTGCAGCCAGAGTATCTTGTCTTCTGCTCATCAACATTTGTGAATTGCTTCTCTTTTTCCTTCAAAAAGAAAGATTTTCTGAAAGTACCCATGATTGTAAAACAAGACTTTTTTGTATTTTCTTGCATTTTAGTTTCATTTAATTTTGCATCAGAGACACTTCCAAATTAAAACATTCTGAGTGGAATTTAAGCCTATTTTCTTGGACCACCATTTTGTAGATCAATCAGGCCTATGAATGTTTTGAGTCTCAGTCTATAATTAATGTGTGTTATATGGTTGGATCCAAACTCAAAGCAAAGTTAGACAAAAATTGCATTAAAAAAAAGAGACATATTAATTTATCATAATGTGCTTTAATTAGTTGTTATTTTACAAATAGACAGTAACATTTACAGACAGATTTCTGACTCAGTGATTGCCTCCATTTTTTGTCACTCACCAGTTATGAAGTAGATCGATCCTATATATAGTCTTCCTTCTTAATATTGTGTTATTTTCTTAAAAAGTTGACAAAGATCAGTGACTGTACTGTTTATTGGACACACCTTGTGAGAGGGTGAAAAACTACAAATTACAAAAGCATAATAAGAATTTGACAAAATATCAAAATCTTAAGCAATCATACAAAATTAAATGCGTAACTTTAACATGTGAGCTGAACTGGCCTATGCCTATCGCTTGCTGGAAATGCGCGGATTTACAAAACATTGTAGTTGCAGAATTTAAACATAAAATATATTGCATAATACTGTTAGATACAGATGATCAAGTTAGATATAAATTCAAGTAAAACAGTATAAAACTTACTCCTTAGGGAGGCCAACATCACCAAACTTAACAGCCAAAACGCCAGGCAAACCGCATGGCTACCATAATTAGTATAAACAGAATATTGAACCCGATCGAAATAAAATTATGCAATACGAAAACGGCACAGTGACTATGCAAATAATAGATCACAAATACTGATTCTTCCACTCTACAAATTCCCACTTCCAACGTCTCGCGCGTTTTAAAGTTTGCGCCTATTCAAAAATGTAAGGTAGAGCTAAGAAATACGTTAGTTTCGAATTTCCAAGATTTCTGTTTTAAAAAAATTACAAACACTATCTGAATAATTTTTCACTGAAAATACAATTTTTTATATCAAAATAAGTTTTATCAATGAAGAATTCGAATTTTTTACGTCATAAATTATACATGTATTGACTTTTAGTTTCGTATAGCAAGTATGGCGGCCCCCTATGACATGATAATAACAATCTCTCGCCCTCAGACAGAATATTCTGAGCTGTGAAAACGCATATGAGAATTAAAACTACAAAATACGAATGTGGATTATGTCATAGATACTTTACAACCATGCAGTCTGTGCTCTATCATTTACGCACGAAGCAAGGGAAACTTTTGACATTTTAACTGCACCAAAATTGAAATGTATATAGCGTTTCAATCCAGGAATAATACGGTACAGTACAGACAAGTGATATAATTTTTTAGTTGTTAATAAATATATAAAACGTTTTCTACGAAGCTCACAAAGTTCATTTTCCAGAATGTTTCATTTTCCAACAACTTGTTTAAAGTTTGATGTTAGAGAAAATTCGGTCGAACAAAGTTGTGTGATGAAAAACGACATTAATTAAAGCACATTATGATGAATATAACTGTTTAATTTAAATTATGAAGAAACACAAGTAATGAATTTGAAAAAAAATGCTGTCAATGGTGATGCACTGTTTGTTTAATTAAAATCAAATAAAAACACGAAATGTTTAGAGATTTCATAATTTATTTTTTCAGATGGTGAAAGAATGTTATTAACTATAAATTATACCAGGGGCTTGTTCAACAATTGCATCTGCATGCAAAAGTTGTATTATGAGAGTATTGAGTGTTTTCTGTTAATTATTTTTGTCAATTATTTTAGTCTTCATGAAAATTCATGAACATTCATAATACCTTGAACTCTACATTTTTTCTGTCTTTAATTAATGAAAATTACCAATATTCATATATATTCATCATTTGTTCATGAACTACATTTTATGAATATATTCATGAATAAAGTTCATGAACCATCTTTATGAACCAGTCATGAACCAGTCATGAACACATCATGAATGTTCATGAACGATTCATAAAAGTTCCTGAAATTATGAATTTCACCTCGCAGGGGAATAGCTGTCTGAGAAAAAGTAAAGCTTGCCTCTGCATTGGTCTGGAGGTTTTTACACAGTCTGCTCTCCTGGGATTAAGTTATACTTAAAATATACAAAATTAACACTTCAATATAGGAATAAATGTTGATAATGCCATGGGGTGTGAGATAATGTTGAAAATAAAAGGGAAAGATCAGGATAGAACATGTTTTCTTAATAAGCAACTATCTACAACTGTATGTTGTCACATTATAGTTAGGAACTTTTTTTTTCTTAATTTGTTAATAAATATTTTTTCAAAGGAATATGAAATGCATGTATGCAATGAATTTTAATTACCGGTAGTATAGTGTTTTTAAAAATGTAAGTATTGCATATAGTTGAGGATTACTAACATAGAAAATTCTCAAAAATCACAGTTCACCCAAAAGAAAACCATTACAGCACAAAAAGAGTATAAAATTAACTTAATTGTATTTTGAAAGTTGGTAAAGATATTTTTTTATAGATAAATCACTTTTATGAAGTACAACTGTACATATACATATGTACATGTAAATTCGGCCACAACAGTAATATTTTTTGAAATATTATTAAAGCCATATACTAAGCTATTCTTTAAGAATGCAAGAATTACATGTAACTATAGGCAAAGAAATATAAAACCATTATGCCTCAGCTCATTCATTTGTACAATGTGTCTCAGCTATTAAAGGTTCATTTCCAAAAAATGTCATGTACGTCCCACAAAAAATTAGAAAGGTTAAGCAAGTTAATGTATTCAAGAAGCACTTAGGAATTTGAACAAATTAATGTGGCTACATGTACATGATACAGGAAATACACCATAGACTTTGTTGTGGAGATAAATTGCCAAGAAATGCTAATTATGTAATTAAGCCATAAAAAATGCTGAATCAGGGCATTACACATGAATTCACAATGAAAATAGCAACAGAGGAGTTCAACTTGTGTTAATCATAGGGAAAACAAAGTTATTTTCTATCAAGAATGTACTGTATTATCATTATGATAATGATGTTTATCTCAAGAATGTTGTGCAGTTCCCAAAATTCTCTGAGACACACTTACAGCATGTTCAGAGTTTGAATGGATGTAAGGAAGTAGTTACTTGGAATGTCGCAGTAATGATTAACGGTTTACAGAGATAGACATTGATAATTAAATGATTGCACGTTGGTGTCTGGTGATATTTTCAATATTTCTATTTTTATCACTCAAAGCAAAAAAATGGAGAAAAAGTAGATATATTGGGAATGCAATGATGTCAATTTACACTTTGAATGTTAATCCTTGAAACATGCTTCAAGGTTATTAATAAGATTTTTTAAAAAAGTTTTATGCATGTCTACATAACATCATTTTTTTTGTTCATTTTGTTATAAGTGTTAAATTTCTTGGAAATTCTATTCCATATGTGTACAATTTCAGAACTGCTTTACTAAGTTTTTTGCAATCTCTTTGAAAATCATGAAAAAAATTTCATCTCTTACAAAGAGATAAAATATGACAGAGCTCTGCAACTTCTGTCACATCAACATGAGTTAAATGAACAGTTACCCCCTCCTCCAACCCACCCACACACACACACCTTCACTACCCCCTGTCCCCCTCCCCGACCTATTACCCCCAAAAAGAGAGATAAAAAGGTTTTCTTTAAAACACTCAACCAAGACAGTAAATGTACTTATTACATGTAGGTGGAAATTTTAAGCTGCTTGAAATTTGCTTCTATTTCCAAAATATACATGTGCATGACAGCATGTGCCTTAATCATTGTAGACTTTATTTTGTGCACAGACAGGGAAGTTTAATGGAGATGAACATGTTATAAAGTAGGTGTCCATCCAGACAAAGTCAAATCCAATACATGTAACGTAGAGATTATAGCAGTGATGCATTAATGTATGTCATTCAAGGAGTCATTGGTCTTAAAAGTATTAATTTATTACAATGCTCTCCCAACAGCTCTTCAAGTAGAACTTTTCTTAAGCAATTTTCTCTGACTACATGTCGTACATCAATACATATATTTTTTTTTTAAATAAAGAAATAGAATTAAAAATCATTTTATCTTCATGTACATTAACTTTTTCTACCTTCATTTGTAGATTTTATATGTGTGGGTAGTATTTATTAAAATCACTTGCATTGTCATGAAAACTGATAAATTCACATGAATTTCACTATATTTATCATGTGTGTGTCCAAGTACATTTGTAGCTGACTTCATGCAATGGCTTGGTCAATCAATGAAACTTCACAACAATAAACACCAAATGTACGGTAGTTGTGCATGCAACATTCAAAATGGCCTTATACCTTGGAAATGAGGAAAAGTCAATTTTGGATAACATACAGATGTACACGTATATTGCTTTAGGAAAGTTTCTCAATTAGTACACATTTTGTATTTGACATAATTTGATGTGCACTAGCTTCCATGATCATGATTATAGACTTTGTGGGCATGATGGAAGATGCCATGGTGCTAATGAGTGGTTCCTGTTTTATTTCCTTGTGATACATATGTACAAGTGTTTAGTAGTGTTCATTGTTTGAATGCATTTAGATTTGAGGAAGTGTCTTTGAACTTAAGTTGCAAGATTTTTTTTTTTTTTTTTTTTTTGAATTTTCATTACAATGATTGATGCATATGTCACACATGAATGGTGTGCATATTGTAATTCTCTTCATGTAATCCTTCACCAGCTGTAATTGGCATCAAGTTTTGTTTTTAGTCCTCCCCTGTCATTAGTCCTTTCAGCTCCTTTACAAACTTTACAGACACTTTATATTTCAAGAATTCTTTTAAATATACTTGAAGCAGATTTGATTTGTTACAGAAAGTGAAGGTCAAGTTTAACAATTTGAAGAATTTGGATTAATTACCTCATGAATAATTTAAATTGCAGGTTTTTAGAAAGAAAAACAATCTGCAAAAACTGTGAAGAAAAATTCATTTCTTTTCATACTGAGGTATTTTAAAATTAAGCTAGGGGCCGTTCTTCAGGATTAGTGTTTGATTGATTTTACTTCTGCAACTCGATCCTTTTCTAAAGCAATATTTGACACAACAGATTTTGTCTAGAATGAAGGTGCATGTCTATCTTCTATTAGGAAAACTTTTCATGACCACCGTTAACTGGTTATTTTCTGGAGGCTTTGGGGAATCAACTTATTCGATCAATAATTAGCAGGATAGAAATGTCTTTCATGATAACTTTTCTGAATTCTCTTTTCTTTTTCAGTTCGGCTGTAGATACCCAGAGAAACACCAAAGTGGCCATAAAGAAACTGGCCCGACCATTCCAGTCTGCCATTCACGCCAAGAGAACATACCGAGAACTCCGCATGTTGAAACACATGAACCATGAAAATGTAAGTCTTAAAGTCAAGGACAATACTATTGTTTGCAGCTTACTGTAAAGTTTCACGTTTCGTCACGATCTTTTTCATCAGATGCATCCAGTGTAAACAATTCACGTGATTGGTCAACTCAAATTATCAACATTGATACGGAAATAGTCTGTTGCACGAGCAACCAATCAGGGATAAGAAGAAAGTTCCAGTCGTAAAGCTTGCGGTTAGGAGGCGTGTACAGTTTACCTTGAGTGCAGCTGTCAACTAAATCGTGACCTAATGTGAAACTTTACAGTCAGCTGCAAACAATAGTAATGATCTAAGATTTACCATAACATGTGTTGTTAACTATGTGCCAGACACTTTTTAGCTCATCTGAGCCGAAGGCACACACCCTCAGTAAACTTTTCAATTTGGATCTAATTTGTGCTTTTTCCTTGCTCATGTGAGCGATGTGGCCCCTGGGCCTCTTGTTTTTAATGTATTTTATCTTTTAATATCTTGATCATTGGATACACATTTATTATTAAAGTGGCACAGTGACGCACAAGGGGGAAAATTGACAAATGTAGAATTTTCGCATGACCTCTGTAAATTTTGTTCAATTCCTTAAAGTATTAGGTTTCAGAAAATTACAGGTTTCAGAACCTAAAAATTAAAATTTTATGGGGAAAAATAAAAGTAAAAATAATTTCTGTCTGCCCCAGAACGAAAATATTGCAAAATACCCTGGTACTTCTTCCTTCCTATCATACGCGTGCGCAGAAAAGTGTTTAATAAGTTTCCATAGTTACCATGGTCTCAGGTATCCATGAATGAATATAAGTAAACCAAAAAATTTGATGCAATCTTTTTAAAAAGTTGTTAGAACATATTTCTCACCTTTGCATGCTCCAGTTGAATTTTGTTTACAAGTTTGAGCTAAAAATAAGAGTAGCGTGACCTTGACATATACGAAACAACGAAACGGTTAATACAACCTTTGTTTTTCCTGCACTTATATTGTGCAGTCAATTCTTGCAGTTGAATTGTCATATCTTCGCTATATACTCATAATTTTTGTAAGTCTTTCTCTGTATACTACAGAATCTTAAAATTAAGATATGATTTTGACTCACTGTGCCGCTTTAATTGAAGAAATTTTTAAAATGTATGAAATGTTAAAAGGTTTAATAACTTTGTAAAGGTACATAATACACAAAGATCTAGATTGAAATTATTGTGTTTTGGATAGCATCTTTTCAGATTTTTAAGTTAACAATAAATATCATAATTATGTATATATTTACTTATATTAATATATTCTTTTTAGATTATTGGCCTTTTGGATGTGTTCACAGCAACTACAAATTTTGATGACTTCAATGATGTGTATGTATAGGATACAAAATTTTCCAGAGTTATCTGTCTTCAAATATATGTACTTGGCTGTAATTTGTTTGATAAAATATAACACTGATTTTATCAAATTTTTCAATTTTAATATCAAGAAGAAATATTTTTAAAAAAAAAATATAGTCATATACATGTATTTACATTTTAAGCGGTTACTTAGAAAAAAAAAAAGAGAATTTTAACAATTGAGAGTCATTTATAGTGTCTGCATGATCAGAGGCTATTATCAATGTAAATATAAATCTTGTATTTAGATATCTGGTGTCCCCCTTAATGGGAGCAGATTTAAACAACATCATCAAGACACAAACTCTCAGTGACGACCACGTACAGTTCCTAGTTTATCAAATTCTACGAGGACTTAAGGTGGGTATATGTCCCAGTCATTTCACAGTTCTGTTAATACAAGCTTGATGCTGTTTTTTTTCTTTAGAGTATGTAAAGGAAAAGTTGCAGTGCAAGTAAACATCTTCATCAGAAGAATTTTTCTATGAATGGATAAGATGATCTGATTTTCAAGATAATGTTGAAATCTAACGGTATTCTGAATCAAATATTAATTGAATAAAGTATGACTATGGATGAGGAAGCAAAAATAATGAAAAATAGGTAGATCTTTTTTCAACAGAGGAAAATAAATTTCTTTTTTTACATGATCAGCTTCTAAAAGAAAAAAAATTCTTGTATTTTATATTTTTTTCTTTTTTCAATTGCAGTATATACATTCAGCAGGAATCATACATAGGGTATGTACACAGCAGTGAAGTTTTAAAGTTAAATGTCTTGTGTTCCTAATGCATCATTCAACTGATTTTTCTTCAAGAAATGGATTTAAAAGCATCAAACAATTTTGTTATCAAGTGTTGTTTATATATTATGATGTTCTGTCTTATTTTCTATATTTTGTAGGACCTCAAACCTAGCAATATAGCTGTCAATGAAGACTGTGAATTAAAGGTAGGCTTAGTTTTCAATCAAATTTATATATGGTTGTTCTTGTTCAAGAAAATTACATGTACAGTATGCATGTCATTCAGTTAAAGTTGCACTGTAAAGAAAAATCAATTATAGGTGCTGTTTTTCACAATATTTTGTTCATTTATCATTTTGTATCCTAAGTAGAATTTTGACTTTGGATACTTTGTTTATCCTTTGTATGAATGTTATTGGTTGTAAGAGTTATTTAACTATATTTTGTTCATTCCTTGTACTGTTGTATTGTGTAGATTTTGGACTTTGGTCTGGCCCGGCACACAGAGGACTCCATGACAGGTTATGTGGCCACCAGGTGGTACCGGGCACCAGAGATCGTCCTCAACTGGATGCACTACAGTCAGACAGGTTAGTTATAATGCTACTAATTATGATATGTTTGTCATGCATACAGTTAAACTTCATCTCAAAAACTGTTGTCTCGTACATACCATGGATATGTCAGTTTGATTTGGAAATCCCAGAAAGCCAGTTATATTATTTTATCCTGGATATATTCAGATCACACCCACCCAAAACATACATTGATGAAGACCTTTATAATGATTATTTTTTACAGTGGATATTTGGTCAGTGGGATGTATTATGGCGGAAATGCTGACAGGCAAACCTCTTTTTCCAGGAACAGATCGTATCCTTTTAACAGAACTTCCATGAAATTATTTGAATGTTTTTATTTGGTACCATCATGTCTCCAAAGGAAAACAAAATTATGAAACATTTTATACATTTTAAATTATTATGAGATCGTTGTTTGGTCTCATTAGCTTTGTTTTGCTCATTTAGGGCTGCAAGAAACTAATTATGATTTTTCATTGCTGAAAATTTAAATGATTTTTTGTTTGGAAAATTTCAAAGAATTTTCTCCTTGACCCAGTTACACAGATATAGACCAGCTGACTCGAGTTTTGTCTTTAGTAGGAACTCCAAATCAGACACTGCTAGACAAAATCAACAGTCCAGAGGTCAGAATTATAACACACAGTATTCTGTCAACAATGCATAGCAAATATTGTCTGAATCTGTGACTAATTTATCCATTAAAATCATTCAAACTTTTGGAAATAAGCTATAGCTTGTCTTCTTGATTTGAAGAACAGAAGATTTAACTTTACTAATGGATTCTGCATGCTCTAGTATAGGGATAATAATTTACCAAAGCATTTATTTAATATTTATTTTTTTTACTCTGAATACAAAACAGGACTTAATATAGAGGATTTTTTTTTTTCAGGCGAGGAATTATGTTGCATCAATGCCAAAGTGGCCAAAGAAAGATTTCAGAGAAGTGTTCATTGGAGCTAATCCACATGGTAAAATTTTTGTGCATGTTGAACTTATTTATCCTCAAAGCATTAACTGTAAAGATCTAATAACATGCATAAGATTGCCGGAGAGCTTTGAATAAAATAGTGTGTACAGGGAAATTTTGGCCCATTTTATTTTCACCTCTTTTCCCTAGACCTAGTTGGGGGAATTCAAAACAGGGCGAATTCAAAGTACACATTAATTTATAATTTCTTTAAAAATTGTTTGCAGGTGTGAAAGGGTGAAAATAATACGGGGCGAAATTACCCCTGTATACAGTACATTTTTCTCATTTCTGTAACACATTTTTATTTCAAAATCTTAAACCTAAAATTGTACTGTATCCTAGCATGTGACTTCTGTCTATTTTTCAGCAATAAATTTGTTGGAGCAGATGCTGGACTTAGACGCAGACACGCGTATCACAGCGACGGAGGCCCTCGCGCACCCTTACTTAGCTCAGTATGCTGATCCTAGTGACGAACCGACTGCCGAGGCTTATGACCAATCATTTGAAGACATGGAGCTCACTATACCCGAATGGAAAGGTTTGTATTATATTAAATGTAGCATTTGTTTTTAATAATGAAAATTAACTTTTTTCCCCCAGTTTGAATGGATTATCTAAGTAATTTTTTATGCCCACTTTCAAAGAATGGAGGGCATATTGCTTTGCTGCTGTCTGTCGGTCAGTTGGTCTGTCTGACATATTGAAATGAAATTTGGTATGCAGATTTATCATAATATAGAGTATTTCATTCTAGTTCTATTTTGTTAATGATCAGACATTTTGGACAGAGTTATGCCCCTTGGAGTTAGAAAAATTCCAATTATTTGCAGTTACTGTTTATGATCTTTGCAGAGGCTGCCTATATTGAAATGAAATTTGGTATGCAGATTTATCATAAGAATATCTAGGTCAAGTTCTATTTTTGGTATGATCGGGCATTTTGGGCAGAGTCATGCCCCTAAAAAATTCTTATAATTCGTAGTTTCCATTCATTTTCTTTGCAGAAGTTGCACATATTGAAATACAGATTAAACATCAGAATATATAGATGAAGTTCTGTTTTTGGTGCGATCGAGCCAATTTGGACAGAGTTATGCCCCTTGGAACTAGAAAAATTCCAATTATTTGCAGTATCCATTCATTTTATCTCCAGATATCTAAGTCAAGTTCTGATTCGATCAAGCAAATTTGGCATAGCTATGTCCCTTGAAAAATTCCATTTATTTGCAGTTTTCGTTCATTTTCTTCCCAGAGGTTGCACATACTAAAATGAAATTTGGTATACAATTTTATCGTATGAATATCTAGGCCAAGTTTTGTTTTGGTATCAATCGAGCAATTTGGTACAGAGTTATGCCCCTTGGACTTAGAAAATTTCCCATTATTTTGGGGAGGTGGGCATAAGTGTTTACAAACATCTCTTGTTTAAATTATATACCCAAAAAATATGATGATCATAATTGTGATAAACACAGATGTTGTTATTTAGCAATATTGCATGATTTACATCAATGTTTTCTTTTTTTTTTCAGTTAAAGTTTATGAAGAAGTAGTGAATTATAAGCCGCAGTGATGTCCCCTGTTTATTTAGCTGACTCATTCATCTCGCTCCATAGATCTCTCTGTATACAGACTCTACTGTTACTAGATATTAGGACTCAGTCATACAACATCAACATGCAACATTTGGACGCCATCATTTCACAGGAAATAATATACTTTTGTCATGAAAAATAATGTGTCATTGAAATCAAACCGGGTCATTGAAATTTAATTAGGTCATTGAAGTTACTTGCAAATATTTTTTGTAAATTTTGAGTTTTTAGAAAAAAATTATTAATTGATGCTAGCTCGTTAAACAGGGCATTTGTACACAGTATTTGTCGCATAAAGTGTTTTTTTTTTCAAATTGCGCACATTATAGTCATGTGAAAATAGTGTTTAAGCAATGCATTGTTTGAATTTTTTTTAACATGCAAAGTAAAATTCTTCAAACATTCATGTTCATTTTTCTTATTAAACATGTTAAAGGAAAATTTTTTATGTCATGTTGGATGTTAAAAGAATCGTAATTGAGGATAATGCAAAAAGAATATATTGAATTCAGTTTGTTACTTGATCAAATGCAAAACAATTGTGTGTGAAAATTTTGAAAGTGCTTTCAAGGTTTAGCAGGTTTTTTTTTGTATTGATGAATTACATTTAACATTTTTGTTAACATTTAAAGAGAGCTTTTTTTGAGTTGCTCTCTTCAATTAGAACAACATATCGTACGTGTTCTTACAACTTTACCTCAGACAATACTTAACATTACACTGTACATGTACTGTAAAATCACATGGTTTTTTGGGGTCAAATATTTGTGGCTGGAGGAAAAAATATGGGTTCATGGGGATTTAATTTCTTGTATGAAGAATTGTTCAGTGCTAATATCCATAAAAAATATATTTCATGGTAGACATAAATTCATGGGTCTCTTCATTCCTCTAAAACCACGAAAATTAAACCCCCATAAAATTTAATGATTTTACAATGTGTCAAACTTGCAGTAGATTTCTATCTTCCTGAAACTTATTTTGACAGTAGACAAATAAATTTTTACATGATGTTTATAGTTGTGTATATGTATAAGGTAATTTGAAAACTGTCTGCATTTGATTTAATTGAAAACAAAAATGGTGCTGCATTGGCCTAAATCAGTTATTTATATGCTAAAGTGATGAGTTTGTCTGCTATTATACAGTACTTCTGTCTTTTAAGAATTTGAGGGTGTTTGAACTGTATTGTAAGTTACATAGTTTAAAGTGTATGCTAGCTTTACTGATATGTTTACATATTTTAATATAAACATCACTGCATTCCTCTCATGCATGGTTGGTGACTTGCATTGAAATTTTTGAATGAATTCAGTTCCCTTTTTTTATGTAGATTGAATTCAAAATTCTATGAAATTACTGTTCAAAAATAAAATCCAATGCATATATTATTATCTGTGCATGAAGAAGTTGTGAATAAATGAATGGAAATCTAGTTTATAAAAAAAACTTTATTATTGTGAGATTTGAAATTATGCTGTAAGATTGTAGACTTAAAAGTCACGGAGGAATTTTTATGACCTCAGACATTTTTTTCACTTTAAATACAATGCTGTTTTTAGGTATATGATGCCAAGTTAGAATTTGTCGAAGAAAGAAAATACATGCATTGTAGATATTCATAGAAATTTAAAGCTAACTCTCTCCCTTAGCATCAATTTTGTTCATGCAGACAGAGGTTTTGTTTAACATCATTGCGTGCAGACATTAGCTTTGGCTGAATATCTTTAAGGTGGCTGAATATCTTTAAGGTGGCTGACTGATATTTATGCAATCCTGTCTCCACATCTAGCATAACAGTGGGCAGATTTTTGTAGTGTTGGACGTTGTGTCAACGGACACTATTGTTAATATCATTACTTCCCTTTGTTAATCATGGTTACCAATGACTTGTTGTCAACTTTGAACATTTTCTGTTGAGTTTGATAGATTTTTAAGAGATGTGGCAGTTGATTTATACTTATATTTTTTCATGATTTCAAATTTTTATGAATAAAAAAAAATGTGTGCTATTTGAATTACTTGTAGAAATGACATTTTATAAACTTTAAATTCATTTTTTGTAGCAATTTTTTTCTAGATCCTCAATTTATAACTTGAAGATTGTTCTTATTGTGAAGACATAATGACATGCGTATGTTCACTGTTCCATCTTATTATGTACAGAAATAGCACAAATAAATCTGATCTTTTTAAAACTGATGCACTTTTTTTCCCTTAAGTTGTTATTTGTTGTTTTAGAAAGAAAAAAAATGTTCGTCATTCAGTAGTGATACTAAATTGTACCTTCTGTTCTACATGCATTTATTTAGAAACAGATCACAAGTGGTTGAATGCTGTGACAGTGGTGCCTTGATTTGTGGGTCTCATCCAAAGGACCCACAAGAGCAAAGTACAGTTTTGGCCAAAAATGCCGCTTTTCATATCTACTCCGATCAAACATTTACAAAGGCTAGGATTTTTTAATTAAATGATATACAATTTATATACATAACTCAAATCTATGCATTTAAAAAATAATGCCAAATACTGTACCTTTCATGGCAGAACATCGAGATTTTACGAAAAAATCAGACTTTAACATGCTATGCATCATCTGAAATTCCAAACGTACACTCTGAAATATTTGTCAATGTAAAGAAGTTTCTATTGTTTTTAATATTTTTAGCTCTTCTGAGCCAAAGGCTCAAAGAGCTAATGCTATGGCCATTTGTGCGGTGTGCGGTGTGCGTTAACTTTTTAGAATATGGGCCATAACTCAAGAACCCCTTGGCCAATCAGTACCAAATTTGTCACAGGGTATCCCTGGCCCAAGGGCTACCTTTTATACTAAAACAAGGGTTTGGACCCTAAAACAAGGGGAGATAATCAGGAAAACAAAACAAAAAGTACTGGTTGCTAAAAAATCTTCTTCTCCAGAACCACCAGGCAGATTTTCACCAAACTTACATACAAGGATCAGGATATGTTGAAGATTAAAAATTGTTCAAGGCATGACCCTGGGGCAAAGGGCGTGGTCTCAAGGTCACTTCAAAGTTGACCTAAATTTACAATTAATAAAAACGTGTATATTTTTCTTACTATAAGGACTAGAATCATCAAATCTTGTAAGTTGATGCATCTTATGACTTCACATCATGTTAACTCAAAAGTAGGTCACGGTGACCTACTTGTTAAATTTTGCGGGGATTTGTTTTCAAATTGATTTGAAGGCATATTTTGGACACTTTAAGGCCTATGATCATCAAACTTTGTCAGTTGATGCATCTTGGGTCCTTGAACAATGTCAACTTAAAAGTAGGTCACTGTGACCTACTTTTTGAACTTTATGACTTATCCTTTTAAAAACATTAAATCCCATTATTTCAGACACTGGGAGGTTTAGAATCATCAAATCTTGTACTTTGATGCATCTAGGGACCTTAAAACATATTTATAACAAAGTAGGTCACTGTGACCTACTTTTTAAATTTTGCCGACATTTGTTTTCAAATTGTTTAAAATGCATATTTTGATTACCTTCAGACCTACGATCATCAAACTTGGTCAGTAGATGCATCTTGGGTCTTTGAAAAATGTCAACCAAAACGTAGGTCACGATGACCTACTTTCGACATTTTATGGCTATATTTCAGTATCTTAGGCATTTATTGGCTTAGAATCATCAAACTTTGTGAGTGGATGCATATTTAGTTTTCGGAGAGTGACGACCAAAAAGTAGGTCATGGTGACCTACTTTTGACATTTTATGGCTTTATTTAAATATCTTTGGTACTTATTGGCTTAGAATCATCAAACTTTGTGAGTTGATGCATCTTGGGTTTTCGGAGAGTAACGACCAAAAAGTAGGTCATAGTGACCTACTTTTGACATTTTGTGGCTATAATTAAGTATCTCTGGTACTTATTGACCTAAAATCATCAAACTTTGTCAGATGATGCATCTTGGGTTTTCGGAGAATGTTGAAAAAGTAGGTCACAGTGACCTACTTTTGAATATCTCAGTTACGTATTAGCTTAGAATCATCAAACTTTGTCAGTTTAGGCACCTTGGGTTTTCGGAGAACATCGACCAAAAAGTAGGTCACTGTGACCTACTTTTGAATATCTCAGGTACGTATTAGCTTAGAATCATCAAACTTTGTCAGTTTAGGCACCTTGGGTTTTCAGAGAACGTCGACCAAAAAGTAGGTCACTGTGACCTACTTTTGACATTTTTTGGCTATATTTGATTATATCTGGTACTTATTGGCTCGGAATCATCAAACTTTGTCAGTTGAGGCATCTTACGGTTTCATTGAATGTCCAACAAGAAGTAGGTCACGGTGACCTACTTTTGAATATCTCAGGTACTTATTGGCTTAGAATCAGCAAATTTTCTCAGTTTAGGCATCTTGGATGTTTGGATAACGTCGTCCAAAAAGTAGGTCATTGTGACCTACTTTTGACATTTGATGGCTATATTTAATTATCTCTGGAACTAATTGGCTTAGAATTGTCAAACTTTGTCAGATGATGCATCTTGGGTTTTCAGAGAAAGTTGACCAAAAAGTAGGTCATGGTGACCTACTTTTGAATATCTCAGATACTTAATTAATTAGAATCATCAGTCTTTGTCAATTAATGTATCTTGAGTCCTCAGAAAATTCCAATCAAAAGGTAGGTCACTTTGACCTACTTATGGTATTTGATAATTATATTATAATATCTTCAGTCTTAACTGGCTAAATATTATCAAACTTTGTAAGTTGATGCATTTTGGGTCTTATGATACTAATAGAGTTGGAGGCTTCTAATAGAAGTGATAGATTGTACAATTTATCAGAAGAGCGATTCAAGGCCCTTGGGCCTCTTGTATTATGTCGCCCCAGACGAAGTCGGGGAGACATATTGCTATTGTACGCATGTTTTTTTGTCCAGGCGTTTTCTTGGAGATGGCTGGGACAATCTTCCTGAAACTTTCCTCAAAGGACGATCACTGGTTGTTGTTGTGCCATGTGGTCATTCAGTTTCAAAATGGCTACCGTTGCCATGGAAACCTGCAAAAAGCGACGAATTTTGACGAATTTTGTCCGCGAGTGTTCTCTCTGGTCTCTTGAACATTCGTCATGAAACTTTTTTTATTTTAGTGATTAGTAATTGTAGTTTTGCGATTTTCAAATAATCAATTATTGCCATGGAAACCAGGGGAAAGTTAAAATTCTTTAATTTCAATTTTCTCAATAACTACTCAAGCAATCGTTTTGAAACTGTCAATGTTTATTCCATGCAATGTGTCAAAGTGGTTTCTATTTTTAAAATAATTGTAATGAGTCGCTCACAGTTGCCATAGAAACGAAACAGAAAAAAAGGTTAAGATGTACTCGTGTTCTCCAAGGTCTAGGTCAAAGTTCTTCGTATCCAATAAAACTTCTTTTCACAAGAATACATATTTGAAATAGGAAAGCCCTAGCCCTTACCGTTCAAACGTTATGGCTAAGGTTCTATGTTCAAGACGACCGCCCCCCCCCCCCCCCCCCCCCCCGAAGGAAGCGCACAGCCAGGTAGAATACACAGATATAACATATACAACTTACAAGTAACATTTTAAAAGTTTCATTCATAAAATTCAGTTCTCCTGATGTGATTTGATATTTGGCCAACATTCATTCTCCTTCTCTTTTGTCTCTTGAATTTATAATTATTTTATTTTATCTATTAAAAAAATAACGATTGTCAGCTGCATTTATTAGCATTTCGCGTTTTCTTGTATTTCCATTACTTTTATATTAATAATTTCATTAGATAATGCATGTATCAATTAGAAAATTGGTACGTCATTTCCATAGTTTTTATTCATTCATAAATCCTTGGATCCGCTCCTGCAGGTGCGCGAAGCCTTGATCACCACTGTAAACAAAACATTCATCTCGCCGAAAATGTTCATGATTCCGCTAAACTGAGAAAGTTTACACATGATTTATCATCTCATAACAAACATCAGCCCTGTGCAATGCAGAAATGCTCGAATTGAAGGTGGCATGTCCGATTCGTTTTCCGGTAGAACCTCTAAAAATGAAAGTGAAAGTAGGGAAATTTCAGAGTTCTCACTGGCGTTATAATACACAAAATAATTCGGCTGATCTTCTTAATAAATTACATTTGCCAAGCTTTTTTAGTAGGAAAGATACTGCCAATTAACAAGTATGAGGCTCAGTTCAGTACATCTGCCCAATTTATTTGATGCAAGTCTGCAAATTTAGGAACTTGTAATTTTTTCCTGCACTACTTTCTTCTACTACCGATTCTAAAAATAATTAGTGGGATGTACCCAATTAAGGTCTTCCGTTTCCAACGGAAAGGACTGATACGACTCGATGGTTGTCCAAGCTTAGCTAATGGACCATTGTTTTAGTGATGATAAAAATGAAAGTCTTGTCCAGTACGGGGCTACATATGCTATTGCTTGCAATAGCAGACTTTCTAGTTATTATTATTATTTCATCTATTTATTTATTTATTTTTTAAATATGGACATTTTGGTTATTACTTGTTTATGAATAAAATAATATCTTGGAATTACGTCGATCTGCCTTGAAAAGAAAGACGACGTCTTTGAATGCCATGAGCACTTTTCAACTGCATCAGCATTGTTTGACTTGACGTTGGCATTTCCTTTTACCTTGACCTCACTTTAAAGAAATTGGTGTCAAACTTTATATGCTAATACATATTCAACTGCATCACTATTCAAGATATTCTGATCAATTTTTTCTAGTTCCTCCTAAATATAAATACATATAGACAGGAAAACATTCCCAAAAGGTTTGTACAGAATTAAATTCATATATTCACCATTCCACCACAGAATAAGAAAAATGTTTAAACAATTCAACGTATCCGATCCATATATATTATAATAGCCTATATTATAATAGCTGGAGATTCAAAGAATTTGAATGCATAACAGATATACATTGGCTGAATACTCTGTAGTATGTAGATATAATCTTCATGTTTTAGTCTCAATATGTCATAGAAGAAGGTGTCCTTTTTTTCCCCTTGACCTGTCCTTGAAGAGTTATCCCCCTTTGCTTTTAATCAACAAAATTTATTTATTGTTTTAAATCTATCTGGTGAAAAAAGATTTTTTAATCGTTTACTATTCTTATTTTACCTTTGCATGAAATACTGTTCACAAGGCAATACTTCGTAAGATGTAATACATGAGGAAAACAATAATTTGAAAATAAAAACAAATACACAAGAACATTAAGATAAAATTTATTTTGATGACATTCAAATCTTTCTGTTCTCATTGTGATGGTAATAAAAAGTTAATTTTTTTATCCATATGAAATAGTGTCATAATGATTCAGTATAAAAGGTTTTCTTCAGGAGTCTTAAATGATAAAATAGAACAATCACACACACACACACACAAAAAAAAAATAGTTTGTCAACGTTTAAACAAGCGGCGTAATCTGCTCAGAAATCCAGTTTTCTCCTTCTTTTTTTTCTTCTAAAAATGAAAGGTGTACAAAGTCAAATGTGTGTAAAAATCCTGCATTACATACAAAATCAAGTTTGTTAAAATCAGAATTCTCAAAGGAAAAAAAACTGAAATTGAAATTGAAATGAAAAGGAGTGGATATTTACCTGTTTTTTCTGTGCTTTGCCACAACACAAAAATCTTCTCCAGCCTGTCGGCACGGGATCGGCCTCCTACAAGTCAAAATTGATTCACATTACTACAAATGTTGTGGGGGGGGGGGGTCATTTTACTGTTAAAAACCATCAATTAATATGTCAAATACGCACCATTTCATTGCTGGTATCTGGATCTGGGAAAGCTATTATAGTGCTATAAATAAAAAAAATTAAAAAATCACATAAATATATTTTTGTTTGGATTTCCTTCTACAATTATTAAATTACTAAATATTATGTATATCATTTCACCTGATATGTGTACTATACAAGTTGCAGTAGCAGCCAGATAGGAGACATACGAAGGAAATGACAATAATTTTAAAATTGTCTATTGTTTTTCAATTATTTTTTTCAAGCCTGGCAGTAACAAGCAACACATACATACCCAGGAATATCACTGTCAGGTGAAGCTTGGATCATAGGATCATGAACAATTTTCTCTGGAGCTTTGTACATTGGCTGTCAACGAAAAAAGAATAATATGTAACATGGTTGGGACAGTTAACTCACTTCAGCATATCTCTGATATTCGAGGTATGGGTGATCGAGATAACATAATTCGAGATAATGGATTCCAACTGTATAAGTTATAGATGCATAGATTACGTAAATTACATTTAGTATATATTTTAGAAATTTACGTACATAAATGATAAGAATAGAATAAATTATATTTTAGAAGAATGCACGCCGGCCTACAAAGAACTTTTATACCTTTGGAGTTATTTTTCTGTGGTCTTCAAGAGACCTCTGTGTCCCCATGCTCGTTACTTCAGCACATTTTGCAGGTCTGTTTGAAAGGGTGAGGGAATAGTGAACGATTTCAGATCCAATCATGACCTTGACCTACAGAAAGTTAAAACAATTAAAACATCATTATTAGAGAAAACAATAGTCAGAGATGGTACAACTAGTATACAAAATATAATATGAGATATATTATGTATTTGAAATAAATATCTCTGTTCAGTAGATACCTTCTTTTGTATTTTCAATTTCTGTGTGTTGTAATTTGCAAATCTGAACGGGGGAATAGCTGACTGTCCCTTGTCTTGGCTAAACATGCTAAAAGCAAAAAAAAAAAAAAAACTTCAACATGCTTTGAAAATAATGCATCATAACAATATACATATGTATATATAAATATGATATTAACAATGTTTTCCATCTATACATATATGCTCTTGAAATGTTCGAATGGTATATTGTTGGCTTAGAATGGCAAAAGAGAGATCACTTGATTTAAAGAATGTAACATGTAAAATTACAAATCATTTACCTTGAGGTAGCCTGTCTGGTCGCCAGAATGATCAAATCTCGTACGGTTTCCCGTGCAACTCTGCGGAATATCTGTTGATTAATAATAAATTACAATTAATTCAATTGTGTTCCTCAGAACTCAAAGATTTTAAGGAGTGAATTGTGCTTTTTCCTTAAAGAAATTATTAAAGCAATGGTAAAGGAACTGCATGCTTACAAATGTAAACCACTATTTGTTAAACTTTAAAATTCACATATTTACAGAGAGGACTTAATTTTGGTACAGAATTATATATTTGCAAAGGATGTGTGCAGAAAAAAACAGCTTTCGTGAAAATTTTGTCTTGCTGATAAGTACCGAAAAACGAAAAAAAAGTTGTCGCGAAAATTGATGCGATGTACATTCATCTCCATTTTCATATAAACATTATTTTTTACCTTCTTTTCTGTTATTCTTTGTTCCTGATACAAATCCCTTTTTGCTTTGATTCTGTCGTCTGAAGTTTGCAGTAGAACTGACTGTTCTTTGCCAACACTGAGAAAAATAAAGAAACAAAAAACCTTTTACATTTCCGGAAATATACACGATGTGTTAACACTGGCGAAATATTTGTAAAAGTTGCATGCTAATAACAATAAAAATAATTTTAGTGACTTTATATACACATGTATCACATACCTGTACTCAGTACCATGAACATTTCTGCAAACCATGTCCAATATACCATCAAGGATGCTTCGCACTATCTAAAACCAAATAAAATGTAAAATGTATAATGACTTTTGGCTCAGGCAGTAAATATATATATTTTACAGGTCATACAAGTTTTGATGAAAATACATGTATAAGAAGCAATGTTATTTTTTTACCATTTCTGATTCCTGGTAGTCAAGGTCCCCGAGACTTTCGAATTCCCTCAGCTTGTCAGAGTTCTACGATTAAAATACAAAAATCAGTTAAACTCATTTATCTTATTATACTGGTATATTTAAAAAAATAGATTATATTAGGCCGGTTTAATTATTAAAGGGTTAATTATAAATGAGTGTTTTAAAACTTTTAATATAACTTACCTCTGATAAACTTGCCATCATAATGTTCAACGAACAGTGAAAGACAATAAACAACTTAACGGTAACCAAGAATAATGCAAAAAGCATTATGACGACCTTGATATTGTGACGTCATTGGTATTATGACGTCAAACAATTGAAAACCTAAATATTTACATTTCAACATAAACTCGATTTCTGGTTATCTTTACAAAGATATCTATGCAAGCGTACCTCAGTAACCTTGTCTGAGTATTTATAATTTATAAACTATAAGTATCTGATAAAGATAAAAAAAAAAACTTACCTCTCCTCCTTTTACTTCCATTTTCCACAAAAAAATCTACACTGAATTTTCGCTATGTGCACAAACAATGTCAAATGATATCTAATTATGACGTTAGTAGCTTTGTGACGTCAGTTGGTCTATGATGTCATCGGCATTAGTACGAGACAGAGAGAAAGAGAGAGAGAAAACTTATTCTTTATTATGTTTCATAATGTTTTTCCGACTTCTGTTGGAGTGAATCAAAGTATCCCATGAGGTTAATTTTCCTCTTCCATGTTAATTAGCCAGGTCGATAAAATGTAGCTATGTACAAAAATCCAAAATGATACGTTTTAATTCATAATCATGTCAAATTTCATACTTGTACATTTACATGTAGATCAATAAAACAATAAAATCAATTGGCAGAATGTATTACATGTATTTGTAAAATTTTTGTGGCAATTTTACAATGTATTACATGTATTTGTAAAATTTTGTGGCAATTTTAAAATGTATTACATGTATTTGTAAAATTTTTGTGGCAATTTTACAATAGCTATCAAGATTTCAGACTTATAGCAAACGTATCATAATGACTTGATGATGCTTACAGCGGAGTGATCAGGATTTCATTAAATACTATAAGATCACCTATTTTCAAGGGGTCAAATATATATTTCAAGGTTTGCAGAAATAGTTTTGGTTTGTGGGGATTTTATTTCGTGGTTGGAAAATGTTTATTAGGAATACATACGATATTTTACATTTCGTGGTGGTATTAAATCCGTGGGTCTTTCGATTCCTCGAAAACAACAACAACAAAAACACACGAAAATAAGTGATTTCACAATATATTGTAAACTTACATGCTTAACGGATAACGTATGACGCTTATAATGAAGCAAAATCGTTTGTCCCTGGTACTTCCTTAAAGGCGTGTTTTAATACTGAGTGAATATTCCGAACATATTTCATATGGAGGAAACATATAACGAAGGAAATGAACGTACCTCTAAATTTCTGTTTGTATGAGTGTATAAATTATATTCAAGTGTATATAGTGACCTAAAGAATTGACAACAAGATGTGTTTGTGAAACACTATGCGCCCGACGGCAACAAAGTTCAAAAAATATTTTCAGAAGATAAGTCAAGGTCACAAGGTCATTGACCTTGGTGTCATTTGAAGAACTTTATTAGTGGAGTATGCACACCAAATTTGAAGTCTCTATCTGTCATGGTTCAAAAGTTATGGAGAAAGTTTGTAAAATCTATTTTTAGCATAAAGGTCACAGTCAAGGTCACAAGGTCATTGACCTTGGTGTCATTTGAAAGAGCGTCATTGTTGGAGTATGCATATTAAATATAAAGTCTCCATCTCCCATGGTTCAAAAGTTATGGCGAAAATTTGAAAAAAGCAATTTTTTAGCAAATAGGTCACAGTCAAGGTCACAAGGTCATTGACCTTGGTGTCATTTGAAAGAGCTTTATTGGTGGAGTATGCATAACAAATAGGAAGTCTCTGTCTCTCATTGTTCGAAGGTTAAAGTTGACAACAGACAGACAGACAAACAGACAAACAGACAGGACAAAAACAATATACGCCTCGGAACTATCGATCCGGGCGCATAAAAATGATTTGTCTCAGCGTGGCATCTACCCTTTTAATTTACTTTTATGCATCAAGAATTCAATGTGGCAGAGAAAGGAACATGTACATGTAAGTTGTTTTTAAAAAAGGAATGGCAGATGTGTATCATTACGTATACATGACATTTGTTTATTCTTCGTTATTTTAAAATTACTTTTAGTAATTTTTAGCAACTGTAGATTGCCATGTCCTGTAGGACTTTACGGACATGGATGCCAGTATTTTTGTCCACAGGCATGTCGAAATTCATGTGATATTGCAACAGGAGAATGTTTGCATTTAGGAAGTAAGATATGCAGCAAAATGCACATGTAAACTGCGTTTTGCTTATATATATATATATTATTTGGTTATCTTCAGAAAGTTTATGGTGTTTAGGTGAAACTTAATTCAATCTATGAGAATGTTTCATAAAATGCCAATCAATCATTATACAATTGAGTTATCCATATAACATCCACAACCAAATCATTACATCTACACTATATTGGTCTTTATTTTGAATGTGTTAAATAAATGTACTTTTTGACTTTCTTAATCTGAAGATATATATGATATCTTACAGACAGACAGATCCAGATTCATCAATACTTGTATATATAAGCTTCAATAATTCACGTAACTTTGTTATCAAACAAACAGACATCCATATTCATTAGCAGACCGAACTATCAAAATGTTTTTGGAGAGCTATTGATCTGCACCAAGTAGTCATATTTTATGTAAAGCTTGTCCAATCTTCGAAAACATTTTGACCAAAATAATACTGTGCACCTGATGTTTTTTGGTTTGGAATGCACCTGCGGCTGCTACTTTTCGCGACATAGGAAATACATTTATTTCAAATAAATACAACGGTTAGCGATGAGAAGTATTCACGAGTAAAAGGAAGTCGCGATTCTTGATAATGCTTCCGACTCTCAAATAAAACTTTTTAACAGTAGGTCTTACAATAACCATTGACGTCCAAACTACGTTTTGGGTGCCAAAATAATGACCCCATGCATACATTTGCACATATAAAAAGGGGAAAAAGTCACCAGTATCTTATTTTAATAATAAAACATTAAAAATTGTGTTTTTTAAGTTTCAGCTTTTCTGGCCCAGTGGTTCTTGAGAAGAAGATTTTCAAAGATTTTTCCTATATATTTCTATGTAAAACTTTGATCCCCCATTGTGGCCCCGCCCTTTGATCTCAAAGTTGAAATAAAAGAGGCCCTACCCCACTGATCATAATTTAGACATTTTGAAATCTACACTACCCCAGGATCTTTTTTGGCCACTCAAGCAAAAATCTCAAAGTTGAAAAAAAAACTATTACATGTATATATTTTACAGCTCTATAGTTAAAAAAGATTAAATCTTCGTAAGTTCTTTATTTATCAAATGCTGTACATACGAAATAAAAACAAAACGGGTATGCTTTATTCTCCATGCACATTTTACTATAGATAGACACCCTGGGTAGAAAATTTACCAAAATTTTCGAAAATGGGAACATTATTTAATTTGCATATAATAAAACACTGCAGGAAAGCAGAGTAAAAAAGAAAATCCTCGAATTTTACGATAATTGAACAAAAAAGACGGTAACCGGAAATTGCTCCCCTTCTTTTCCTGTGCAACATTCGCAACAACATGTACATGTGCAACACCCCTGAAATGAGCAGCAGTCATACATTTCACCACATCCTTCAGGATCGTACAGGGATCTGGCCGTCCTCGGCGTTTGGTTATAATTAGTTCCTTCTTCATCATCATATTGTAGTGAACGAACTCTGTTTGAGATCCTGGTAATAATAAAATACAAGTCAAAGTTTTCTAAATATGATTTTTTAATAAAACATTTTTCTTTTTCGATCTTTTTGACAATTTGGTAATTTTGTTACTTGCAAGAATCACCTGAATGAAAATTGAAGAAATCGATTTACTCAAATGTGAACCGAGACATCTTTGAAATGCAAAATAGCTAATGTCGAACCTATCGATGTCGCCTTTCTATAATTATACTTATAAAAAGTCACTGGTATTTTGGGGTAAATACTTGTATGTACCACTATCTCACCTAAAGCAGCGATGATAAATCCATAAAATCATTAATATAGACATTGCTGTAATCAAAAGTACTCCGAAAATGACCAATGCAATGAATTTACCCATCTGAAATAGATTGTTAAAAATATGATGTACTAGTATCAGTCCACTAATTAATTCACACATCAATTAAAGACTGTGTTAGAGAAAGGCGAGGTAAAAAGATATTTTTCGGGAAAAAGCGTATATTTACCTATAAATTTAAAAACCTTCAAGAGACTTTAAGAGCCGACCATGGTACCACATTTTATCTCCATGCAGTCATTATATAAAGTGAAATATAAGGGGTCTTTTCATTTTTATGGTCCTTAAAAAAAGTCATTTACACAAGTCCTTGATAATGAATAACAAAGTCTTACGTAATTTTGGCAACTCCTTTTCTCTTCTTGTTTTTTTTTAATCAGTAAAAAATCCTCGACAAATATATTTATCACTGATATCATAACAGTCTTTTCATACTATTTACATTTGTTTTATCTAAATGTATGTTAGATTTAATGTATTTAGTTGAATTTACATATATTATTTAAAGAGAAAAGTATACTTTTTTAGTACATGACAAACAACGAATTCAAAAAGAGGATAAACCCAAATTCGCATATATCAAACTTTCTCCAACATGTTCATTGCCAGACTTAGTAACAAATTCAAATCTAACATAAAATCTAAGTTGATGTTAAATAAATTATGTCTAAGCACACTAAGTCATGCGTTTTACTAGACGAATAACATTTGGGCGAAGCATAACAATAGCTAGGCAGAGGATAAAAAAAAATATCCATCGTCTGTTTCTCAAGAATCCTATTAATGACTGTTCTCAGTACAATGAGATAACCCGCACTCGTAAATTAAAGCAGATGGCGGGAGAATGTTAAAAGTGTATTTGAAATATTCGTTAATCAACTTCAATTAATCATAATTTAAACCAATGGTTATCTCGTGCTTGTGTTGATATCTCGGACATGATTTTTGTGGGGCAGCCATAGTGGAATCACCGGAACTTTGGCCGATTTCGACGCTTTAACGACCGATCTCTTTTTGTCTTTTTCATATTGAAGAACGAGTACAGGTCTGGTTGTTTTTATCTTCCCTCCTTTTGCTTTCCTCCTCCATTTGCGAAAAAAGGAAACGGGGAGGCTCGAAATTCCCGGACCTTCTTCTGGTTCTCTGCAACACCTGCAGCAACTACAGAAACAAGCACAGCAACCATGGTATCCACAACACCCTAGTAATGAGCAACATCCGTAGTAATCTACACAGCACAAGTCACATTTGCCGCCATGTTCAAAACATCCGGGATCTTCACGGGGAGTTCTGGGTGTTCTGTTTGACTTCTGATTTTCCTCCTCATTAGGCCTTGTTCTTCTTGACCTCATTCTGAAATATTGTCCTATATTTGACTATTTTCTTTTGTTACAAAAATATAAAATACATTTATAATAAATTTTCTTATAATTTTTTTTTTTTGGTTTTGAATGAAGGCTGCTTATGCTCGTTTTTGATGTTAGCATTTTAAGAGAAAAAAATGCACTTGAACCAGCCTCTGAAAAAAAAATCAAGCGGACCTAATGGTAACTATTTGATGCCCAAATCTTACCTGAAACAACGACGATAGCAATAAACGCAGAGCAGAGTTATCCCTGCAATGGTCAACAAAGCTCCAAGGCCGATCAAAAGCCAAAACCAGACTATAAAATTAAAAATAAATGTAAAATTTCCATATATAACTTTTACAAAATAGACAATATAAAAAGTATTAATTGCTTATATACATTGTATTTCAAAATTGAAATTAATAACTAAACGTTGCACTAGGAGTTGATTTCTTGGAGGGAAGAAAAGGCACTCCCTTTAAATCACACATACCGAAAAGGAACTGATCAAAAACATACCATTATCAACGAATGACAATTCACACTTCCCAGGGCCTATCCAATTGTTTGTAGAATCGCATGTTGATACAGAACTTCCGACCATAGAATAAGCTCCATCACACTCATACACGGCTGACGTACTGGATACAAAACTTGAAATATGGCCATGCGGAATGGAAGGAGGCAGGGTAGGGCAGCTCATTATCCTTATCCTCTTAAACCAGAGATGTGCATTTAGATACCGGTATTAACAATGAAAACCGAAGAAAAATAATCGACAATGTCTCAAATAAAATACTAACTTTTAGTTGTGAAATTTTATCGCAGTTCGTTGAAATTGACCCCTTTGACCTGTTTGCGTTTTGATAGGGATTGAAAAGTCTGAATCATTGATTGTGCCGAAAGAACTTGGCAATCCGACCACTTTTCTGATAGACCATTTCATGTATGCTAGAAATTTTAATTGAAACACGTGTGTGGCAACGCACTTTGAAAAAATTACGCACTTTGAAAAAAAATTCAAAGTGCGTTAAATTTGGGACAAAATCAACGCACTTTGAAATTTTTTTCAAAGTGCGTTCAAACGAGTTTGTTACCAATAACGCACTTTGAAAAAAATTTTTTTCAAAGTGCGTTAAGAGTCTACATCAATATATTTTACCATGGAGACACTTAACGCACTTTGAAAAAAAAATCATATTTTAGTCATGGAAAGATTTTATTTGTTATTTATCTTTCAAAAAACTAAACCTAACCCTTACCTCAAAAATGAATTGATTTACTCCCGTCGAAAAGAGAAGAAGACGGTTATGAGATCCCTCAGTCCAAATCTTTATTTTTCCAATACATAAGCGTCGGTTACAAACGGGGGAGGGGAGCAATAAACCTAAAAAGGGTACGCTACATTTTCAATGCTTATACGATCTTTATATCTTTCCAAAATAAGTGGGTGGCTTAGCCCCCCCCCCCATCCCCTCCCCTGGCCCTTCGCCCAGTCTCGATGTCTATGCTATACTCAAAGCATTCATATAATTATGTATTTACCTAACTGGTATGACGTTGAAAACTTTCAATATTAAATGAGTTAATTTAAAACAGATGAAAACTAGAAATTTTTAAGTACAGTAAAACGTATGAGAGGGAAAGAATTTTCTAAGTTTTGAAAAATCAAATTGGCTCCTTTTTATTATGATAAATGCTAAGTTGCTTGAAGCTGTCCTCTGTTAGTGCCCCCTATACACCTTTACATCTACTAATAAAAGAATAGAATTTAAAAAAAAAGAAGAAACGAATAAATGAACTTAAACAATCGTCACTCTTAAAGAGACGTTAATTTTCCCTTTTATTTTTTATTTATCATACCGATTATTTGAAGGAATATTGATCAATCTTTATTTTTTTTCAAAGTGCGTTAATATGGTCAATATTAACGCACTTTGAAAAAAAAATATTTTTTTCAAAGTGCGTTAGCTTGGTCCCAAATTTTAACGCACTTTGAAATTTTTTTTTCAAAGTGCGTTGTAACACACGTGTAAATGAAAACCTAATTTTGTATTTTCTATTTCTTTATTTATTTTCATATATCATTATTTTGATATACAGAATATGGCTGTGGCAGAAACAAAATTACAATAGTCTAATCACAGATAGATGGCTTCTGTATCTTTTCCGGGAGCAAAGGTCATGATTCCTTGAGAAAGATATGTCTTTGACATCAATTTTAACAAAAATGATTTGCTAATCTTGACACACGTACTTTTATTTGATTACAAAGATGACAAATTCTTCTGAAAAAATGTTGCACATTTCTAGATCACAACTCGTATTATAATTAATTGTTTTCTGTCAATAATAATCGAGGAATGAAATTAAAAGATATCCCTGTACGGTGTACATGTACATGTTAGGAAATAATATATTAAATTTATCCCTAATCATTTAATTTTAAGTTATAATTCAATCATCGTGCTAATAAAAATTGCTCATGATGAATTTCTTAAAAATTTTAAACGTTGCATTTATGTAAAGCAAACTTACATTCTTGATATTACGAGGGTTGTCCCAGAAAAACGCGAGCACGTAACACGTATACCCATGTGCAACGCACCGGAGATGAAATATGAAATTACAATATTTTCTCTGAAATGATTCGATACGCAAGAGCGTGTTCGTCATATGATCTTGTTACAGGTGGTTTATGTTATGGTGTTAATGTAATGAAGGAGGGTATTTCTGATAATTTTGAGAACTGTGTTTGGGAGCCTTCCATTGTCAAAATTAATGCTATCACTGAACAATTTCAAATACGAGGTATGCTATTGACAAACAAGTTGATGGAACAAGATTGTTCGGAGGCTCCTTTGAAGTCATTAGTAAGTTTTATGCAAGGTCAATACAGTACTAATGACCTTGTTAGCAAATACAATTTATTATTTCATACTAAGTGTTATATACACTATTCATAAAAAATGTATACACACTTATAATTGGTTACGGGTTTTTCTGTTATCTAATTCCCGATCATGACAAGGAGCACACAGTGTTTATGACCTCGGACGGTAGGAGATACTCGCTCCTCCATTGTACCTGATCCAATATCTGATGTTTTAGAGATTCGTGTGCTCTTCTCCTGATTTGTATTGTTGGAATTGTCTTTTGATTTGAACTTGAATAGTGTTCAAGTGAGCTAAAAATATGAAACTGTAAACGCGCAGGTCGACCCATCGAAATTCTGGGTGTGGGATCAAATGCCTAGAAAACGACAATGAATTTTTTGACATGCAGACTTCAAACGAGGATGTTGCATTATCGGAGCATGTTTTGAGTATCGAATTAGGGAATATTCTTCATATGAACCATATAATTAATACATGTGTACATAAATGATATTTTTTTCACAGAATTGATATATATGAATCTTAGTTTTGTACAGAATGCTCATGTGTTTGTAAAAAAATATTTGTTAAGATAAACAGCTTAACCCTGTACAACGCAGTAGGACCGATCCATAGTAAAATTCAATATTTTTATTGTTTTCTTCTGAATAAAGATATCATGTAAATTACTTATAATTACAAATACAAAAGAGTGCATCGAGCCGAGACAAAATCAATAAAAAGAGAAACATGAACCACATATACATATACATGTACATACATTGTATTTGAATAGATGTCGAAATCATAAAAATGCTAACTTTTTTTCACATCAACTTGCATTTTTCAGTCACGGCCATAAAGAATATCCTTGAAGTCATGCAGTTGAAATTAATCACAATACAAAAAAGAATACATGTTCATGTACTGTTTAATTATTTTGTGCTTGTGTTGTTGGATCTCACTGGGTTTGAATGTGGGAGCCATATAGCGATCGCCTTGGCATTTTTCCTGACTTTGTTGTATACTTCATCATCCATTGGATTATCGGGCCTGCTGGAACGCCACCGCCGCCAGAGGTCTCTTCGTTTCCGCCTCGCTTTCATATTTGTCCTTTTAGAAAGAATTCCCGTCCACCATTTCCCCTTTCGTCTTCTGCCTCTCTCATGTAAACCCCTATTGCCTTGCACATGCGTGTCATCTGGTTCTCTGCAACACCGACAACACGTGAAAAAACCGCAACCACAGAAACCACGATAACCACAGCACCCGTAAAGCGAGCAACATCCATTATAGTCCACGCAACCACAAACATCACAACTTCCGCCGTAATCACAACATCCGCCACAGACACCGGGAGGGTATTCCTCGTCATGGATCGGTCCTACTTTCCGAATTCGATTACGCCTATTGAAGATTTGTAATGAAAAATTCTTATTATATGTATCAAAGTTTCTCACATTTTAAAATTTATTTTTGATTTTTTTTCTTTGCTTACCAGCAACATCGTTTACAACAGTAAACACAGAGCGCTGTTATTGCTCCTATTGCCACTAGAGATCCAAGGGCGATCAGGAGCCAAAACCAAACTGAAAATGGAATTTTATTGACATTAATAATATCAATATTGGTACCACAATTCAGAATTAAAAAAATGTTACTTACTCTCATTATGTTGTATATTTTCTAGTGACATGAGTTTGTTATTTCCTATTTGAGAAACATTTGGAAACCAATTAACCTACCTGCTAGCCATGTCCCCTTGATTAAATTGTTGCATTTATCAGTACCAATTAGATAAACTACAATAAACCTATTCTTATTATGGTCAATCCAACCTCACGACGTAGGTATTAAAAACCCTCTAAATAGAGAACAATAGGTGCTGTCCTACGACTGAGAGTACATTGTATTTTTAAATTGAAAACGAAGAAAAAAAAACCAAATTATATTCATTTGTAGCACGTTTCACGCTAGGTTTGGTTTTGCTTTGTTTTAATTATAATATTAAAGTGGCATTTATTTGCGAGTTTAAGTCGAGAGGGGAGTGTGTTTGGATGGGGATGAGATAAGTTTTTATTTTGAATTCGAAGAAATCCAGACAATTATGGTCAGTGACTTACGGAATCTTATTAATTTTGAGTAGAAACACATTAATCTCAGTAATGTAGGATCATAACGAAACGGGTACCAGTATTGCAGATATTTCTTTTTTTATTGAAATATGCATTATCTTAAAAAAGACATATTTTATCCAAAGATAAGAGTAAAGCTTTACTATACTGTTATCAATTTAATTTTCAGTGCATGTAACATACATGTATCTTACCTAATGTTATAATACGAGTACTAGTACTAAATTGAATGTTATATAGTCAAAGTGTAAGGATTTCATAACATTATTTTTAACTCACCCTCTGGTAGTTTTTCCTGACTACAGACCGTGTTTCCATACCAGATATGAGATGTTTTGTTACAGTAGAAATTAGGAGCTCCGGATAAAGTATATCCCGGATTACATGTAAATCGGACAGAAGGTTCCCGACCGCTAGAGTCTATACTAGTCACTGGGTAGCCATTAGGCAAAGACGGGGGAATATCACAACTCATCTAGGTGATTCTAATGGTGATCGGATCATGTATTGCACTTAAATACATTTGGAAAAACGAAAATCAGAGAGATAATTTTTTTTCTAATGATTCAGAACCCTACCCTTAGGTCATGACTAGGTAATGAATGTTATAATTTGAATTGAATGACCCAGCAAAAATTAAAGTCTTAAGGACTATTGAAAAGAAATTTGTTTTTCTCTGATTAGAATGTTATCAGAATGTTTTTCTGAATTTTCAATTATATCAACCGTTCATTTGACATTCTGGATAAACTTCAACAAGAATGATACGTGGACATACAGGTAAATAATTATATAAGTATTTACCTGCACAACTACAAACAAATACTTTAACAGGTATTGTACGAATGCACAAAACTGGTTTTCCACCTTACTTTTTTTAACGTTGTTGATGAGGTTTTTCTTGGATTGATTATTGCTTTTATTCTTTAATTAAGAAAGAAAGCCTTTACACAAAGTAAAAACAGAAAAGGTGAAAAGAATTTTGAAATAACAAAATAATTAAAAGACATACAATCCCAGTGGTATTAAATAATACATTTATCTCGAAATTTCAAAAATCTCAAAATTTGACTGGGTATGACACTGCATGAATAGAAAACCTATTAAAATATATCACTATTAGCTATAAATGTTGAATTGTATATAACTACATGTATACGAAAGATCCATTGAATTGAATTGAAAAATAATTCTAGGTAAATTATATATTATTCATTGTTTAACATTTTAAAGTTTAGTATTGTAGATATTGCCATTTTTTATCTGGTAAAAATACCCATTTCTTTATAATCTATTTCGATGTGTTACACTCATCAAATGAATCTGACTTTTTCTCAACTCAAAAGCTCAGTCATCCTTTGCCTTCAATACAAACTCTATTTCTTAATACATCACATGTAAAAGAATTTCACAAATAAATGACCAAAAAATCTGTAATTGTTGCTGAACCATCTTAAATGAAATTGCGGTGTTTTATTACACATAAAAAAGAAACAAATTACATATGGAAAACTACAATGTTAATTGAATAAAAAAAAAAACCGTACCATCTTTGATGTACCAAGGAATACATTCAGCATTCCCAAGCCAGCTGGTGGTTTTCGTATCACAAGTGTACGTTGGATTTCCTGAGAGCGTATGTCCGGGGTTGCAGACAAAAGTAATAGTCAGTGGGGAGCCGCTAGGGCTGCCTGTGGGGTATCCGTTAGGGATGGACGGTTGACCAGTGCAGGTTGACATTCTGAGGTTAACTTATCAAAGTAATTCAGCACATGTTTCATAAAAATCATGGATCCATATACACGTTGAAAAATCAGACTCATGGGTTTGTCTATTTACACAGCAAATTCGTCAGTTTTACTGCGATAAGATATAGCATTAGTGTACATAGTGTAATTTGTGATTGGAAGTTTTATTTAAACTTTCACAACCTTCTAAAAAGTTCTCCGACTGTTAATCCAATAATGCCATGTAATAAATGATCACAATTCATACCTGACATTTCTTTATAATTTTGTAACTGCTCAAGAAAGTCAAGGGAAGAAATATTCTAATGCAAAAAAAAAAAAAAAAAAAAAAAAAAAAAAAAACAACTCTATTCTAATGGAATACTGAAGAAAGTTCTAGTTAGGTGAAATTGAAAGCTATGAAAGTAACATTGCTGCAAATTCTTAAAGTACATGACTGTATTATCAGTTGAGTAGCAGTGGAGAAGGGCGCTTGTTCATCATGAGTAATTAAAACTTAATGAAGCCCTAAACACTTACATGTACATATAAAAGTGTGCAT